TAAATCTGTACCTAATAAACTAGAATGTTATGACATCAGTCATAACATTCATACACCTGGTTTTACCAAAAATGCATGCCAATACCTAAACAACTACAGAAGTTAATGTCCAGTCGAAGCTTGTGAAATCGAAGCAAGCTTGAAGAAGGCCAAAGTCCAGTCGAAGCTTGGGAAATTGAAGCAAGCTTTCTCTTCTTCGATTTGATGCTTGAAAGCCCAATGTGATCCATGGGAACTATATGGGGCACTTAAAAGTCCAATTGTACTTGTGTAAACTTGAGCTTTTGAAAATCTTTGTGAGAAATGTCTTGAGAAAAGAGAGGGAAAATTTTGAGGTACAACAACAACTTATTGATACAGTTGTCGGTGACTCATCCAACTTTACAACAACCACTAGTGTGAAGAAGATTATCGAAGCCATTGCTGCAAATGAGCATCTGAAGCTATATGATAGAGTTGTAAGCAAACCAGAGGGAGTGATTGATTTGAAGTTGGAAGTGAATAAGCATATAAAAATTGAAGAGGCTATTACTACAGAAGTGGAGAAGAAGCTGAAAGTAATGAACATGGGTACTCAACATGTAGCTCAAGTTTAATATGTACAAAAGGTTACTTGTGAAATTTGTAGTGGACCGCACCTTACTGTGAAATGTCTAGCGACTTCACAACAAATTGAGGAGATAAAATTCTTGAGGAAAAATAACCCATATTCTAACACCTATAATCCTGGATGGAAGAATCATCCTAAATTCTCCTGGAAATATCAACATCAACAAGCTCCTCAAAAGGCAGAGTGGGAGGTGGCTATTAAAAAGATGGCTGCCCATACCTCTCAATTTCAATAAGAAACAAGGAGTAATTACAGGAATACCACAGCTGCAATAAATTTTTTTAAAGTTTAAATGGGACAAATTGCACAACAGGTAGCGCTGTGAGCACAAGAAAGTTAGAAAAGTCATGAGAATGTGAATTCTGTCGAAACAAGGAGTGAGAAAGTTGATAGAGAAAAAGAAGATGAGGTGAAGTTTGATGACAATATAATAGAACTAGAGCTGGAAGTGAGAGAGAACAAGAACAAATAGGAAGAAGTGGTATCGCCTATGAAGCAAGTTGAAGAGAAGACTACACCAGTGATCAAGTTACCGCATCTATCTCAAGTGGAAAATAAGGACACAAAAGAAAAAGATTTTGAGAAATTTTTCAAAATTTTCAAAAAGCTAGAGATCCATATACCGTTCTTTGAAGCACTCGAGAAAATGCCATTGTACCAGAAATTCATGAAGGAGGTACTTTCAAAAAATATAACAACAGAAGATGGACAAGTACCCATTGATGAGAAATTGTGTACAATTGCGCCCGAGAGAAAAATACCTGTCAAGCAGAGGGATCCAGGGTCAGTTGCAATACCATGCACCATAAAATATAGAGCTTTCAAGAGGGTTCTGGTTGATTCTGGATCTAGTGTGAGTTCAATGCCATTATCGATTTTCAAGAGGCTCAGTATTAAGAAGATAAGCGGGAGTGGGACAAAATTGAAATTTGTTGATCACACCATCAAGCAGTCATATGGGATAGCTGAAGATGTATTAGTGGAAATTGACAATTTTTCCCAGTTGATTTTCAGATCATGGACATACCTGAAGATGAAGAGACTCATATCATTCTTGGACGAGTATTTATGCCGATGAGTCGATGCAATTTTGATATCGAGACATGTAATCTGACATTGAAATCATTTGATAAGGAGATAACCTTGAAGGTGTTGGAAATCAATAAGCAAGGTGCAGGTGGAAAGAATAAATCTTCAGTTGGAAATGATCAAAGTAGAAGGAGAAGGAAACAGTTCAAAATCACCCCCAGAATAAGTCTCAGGAAAAATCTCTCAGGTGGCATCAATAAAAATTCCTAAGCTCAGTCAAGAAGGAAAGAAGAGAAAGAAGAAGGAACACTGAGCTGAGGAGATAGAAGTTGGAAGTGGCTGGAAGCAAAAATGGGTTGATACTTTTGATCTGAATGAGTTTTGGATTACAGAAGACACAAGCAACAAGGTGTGGAAAAGGAAGTACCCCATAAGGGGATTAACTGTCGAGCCATGCGACATTAAACGAAGCACTTCGTGGGAGGCAACCCACGATTCTAATAGCTTAGTTTTTATTTTTGTTTTGTTTGCAGGTGATAAAAATGGAGTCTTACTGGTGCAAGCAAGGAGGCAACAACATGTGTTGCATTACCCTCTGTGAGTCACCTACTCCAGCTTGTTCCGAAACATTGGGGTCAATGTTTAGTTCAAGTTTGGGGGGGGGGGGGGGGGGGGGGGGGTTATTGCTTTTCTTCTTTTTGAATTATTTGTTAGTTCTAGGCAAACTGTTGTGTAAATCCACGAGTTAAAGTCCGCCAAATTTGACGAAATTTTTTGTTTTGATCAAGAACTTGGTTCTCATAGAGTTCGGGAATAGTATATAGAGACAAAGGGATGGTTGTTCGAGGGTAGGAAGTTCAGAATAACGTGACAGGGATACAAGTCTAACGTGTAGATTTGTACCATAGTGCTTGAATCCTGAGAAGTACTCCTGAAGTAGTTTATCCTTACAGTCTGGCATAATACAGACTAACATGCATGTATGATTGATGGAGAAATAAATAAATTTTGCACCAAATGATGAAAAGGTGGTAAAAGGAAACTGAATCGCTAAGTTGGGTAGCCCTCATTCGATTATTCATCCCAAAGCAGGTTGATACCCAAACATCACCCAAAAAGACAATATATAACTGCAAAGTTTGAAAATTTCATCGGTATTTAAAAGTAGCCAATGCTGCTATTTGATGCCCAAGCAAAAAATTCTTGATTAGTCTTGTGCATGTGATGATCATCATAATTCAAATTGCCTTAATTTGATTGTTCGAATGAAAAAGGAGGAAAATTGGAAAGATACTTAAGTATAAAGCATAGTTAGAGAGGTGTCTGAAGAGGAAACTCTAAACTTAAAGATTCTTAAACAAACTCTTTGTGTCATGTGAACATCAGACATACTACTTTTTGATCAATTTGAATGGATGTCCCACATATGAGTACCAGGTTGCTATGATTTTCATGAGTTCTTGTAATGGTTGATTGAGGTCAAGCAACAGTTTAAGTTTGGGGGAATTTGATCAGTGGTTTTTCAACCTTTATTTACAGTTGAATTTAATTATATTTTCTTTATTTTTTTTCAAGTGTTTTATTTAATTTTTCTATGTTTTATGCCTTAGTCGTGTATTTTGTTGTTTTCAGGCTCAAAGAAATAAAACCAGGAAAATCAATGCGAAAAGTGAAAATTCGGTTTTGGAGGAAGTCTCAAAAACCAAACTACAGGGTGCCTGACACGGCCACCAGTATCGCCTGACATGGGCCGTGTCAGGAGAGGATATATAGCTACAATTTGGGAGCAGAGGCTGACACGGGTGCTCGTGTCAGCTAACATGGCCCGTGTCAAAAGGTCTGGGCGAGAGTTCTTATTGGACTGATGGACAGAGGCCGACACGGGTGCCCGTGTCTGGTGACACGAGCTATGTTGACCAGGATGTTGAGTTTGGGTGTTTTCATGATTTTGTATGATTTGGGATCCAGGCATTTTGGGCATTTCAGACCGATACAAATGGATTGTGCACTATTTAAATGAGTTTGGAAGAAGAACTAGGTACTTTTTGATGGATAATATTATGAACGATAAAGATTGGGGCTTTTAGGAGATTTGGAGACAGAGATTCCTCCATGCGCGGAAGTAATTTAAGATCGAAGAATCCTCACCTTTTGTAATGTCTAATTTTATTATTGCTTTTCTTTTTAATACTATGAGAGGATAAACCCCCCAATGCTAGATGGTGTACCTGATTTGCAAATGCATTGATTTTGAATTCTTGGTTTTGATACAATAGTTACTTTTCAATTTAATTGTTCAATGTTCTTATGAGTTCCCTATCAGATAAATAGGGATTGATCCACCATTAACAATTAGGGGTAGACCGCTGTTGATAAGGTTTTTTAACAATTAAACTATAGTAGATATCACCTAGGACTAGAGATACCCTATAGGTCACCGCTAAAATCTTGATAACATAACTTCTTGGTTTCATCATAATTCACTAAGGACTTAGGTATTAGGATGAATGACCAAAGGTTTTCTCACTAAAGACTTTGGGGAAAACACATTGAAAAATCGGTAGTTGAAAGTAATGAACTTGTTGACGAGATCAAGAATGAAGGTTAATATAGGGTGAAATCACACACTTACTCTAGTATGCTCTATATATCTATTAAAAAGCCAATTTATATTTCTGCTATTTGTTAAGTGACTATTTCAAAACCCAAACCCCAAGTTAAGTTTCTATTTAACTGACCCACACATCAAACTCGGTAATTCTATGACGTCCTTGAAATCGATACTTTGAGATTTCCCATTATTACTACATTGGAAAATTAGTACACTTGCTAATTCTCCCATCAATTAAATCTAAATTCTATCCATCTATTCTATAAAAGAATTCACAACTTCTTGGCCAATTTTCCAACTAACTCTTTAATAAATTTCATAACTATTTTCCCCTTATAACCAACTAACTGTCAAAGCTAACAACACCTCTAACAAAATTTTCTCAAAGAAGACTATATAATAGAAAGAGAGGAGAATTATCAAGGGGATTTCATTATTCATACACAATTCATTCACATTCAGAATTCATTCATACAATACTCACAATCAATTATTCACATTTTTATTCCCACAAAATCTAAACATTGATATTCACCCTTATCATTATTCAGTTTCGAAAAAAATCACACATAGAAAACTAACCAGAAAATCTCTATTATCTCTCTGCAAAGAACTCGTCAATCATCTCATCAAATCTTTATCTCTGCAGAAAGCACACTTTCACCTTCATTTATTCATCGCATCATCATCATCTTCATGAATTCTCTGAACAAGCTTCACTGAGCCTAATCCATCTTCATCATCATTTCATCAACAATCTTCATCTGCAATAACAATCAAGATCTTTGCAAAAACGCAATCATCATCATCAACTCTTGAACTCTCAATGAAACGCTCAATAACACAAATACCAAAAGGCGGAAAACAAAGAAGAATCGGTAGAAGAGGAATTGGTAGTAGAAATGAGAATAGCACAAGAATAGTTACCTGAAAAGTATTCTGGTCTTCCACTTGATCTTGACTCCGACGAAGAAGCCACAATAGTGTCTCTGGTATATAAGTGATTCTTTGTTCTTCTTCCTTATTTGCATCATTGGCTCGCATCTTTGTCGAATTTAGATTTGGATCCGTGAAGAGGATGAATAGACATTGAAGAAAAGTTAAAACAATGAGATATTGAGACGAAAATGCAACGCGTCTGAGAGCGGAAATCGCAAAAGAGAGGAGATCGAGGCGATAGTCGTATCAGTTACGGTGGTGCTGTGTTAATCGTGATCGAAGAAGAAATAGACGAAGGGAGCGATTAGAAGAGCTGCTGTGGAGAGAAGCCGTTGACACATTTTTTATGAGAGAAGAAGGAGTTCTCATGTGAAGTCCAAAAGTCACAGTAATTTGCGAACCCTATCCTCTGCACAAAATGCAACGTTCCACTTTCTTTCACTCTTATCTCGTTTTTTTCTCTTTTAATAAAAAAATTTAATCAGAAAATGAGGCAAAATTGTGGATTATATATGTTAACATGGTTCAGTCTGGGGTTAGTATGAACTGGCTTTTGACACATTATCATGTCCATGGCACCCCTAGTTTCCATTGATTTCATTTTTGTGTTAATTTTTTTTGGAAATTAATTGTTGATGATATTTTCATAATTTTTTGTTGAAATTTGGTGTGAGTATTAACATGTCGGTTCCTGACTTTGTCACATTTTCTTAGTTTTTTCTATATATTTTAGGAATTTGGTGTGAGTATTAACATGTCGATTCCTGACTTTTTCACATTTTCTTAATTTTTCTATATATTTTAGGAATTTATATGATAAAATATCGAATTGTGATTAAAATTAGGTTTTTGTGACGCTACAGTAGATCCCTTTTGTTTTGATTCATTTCTTGGCATGGTGATTGATTAGATAGAAATTCCTAATCCTTAGATGCTTGGTTGAATGTATGTTTGTTCATGATCATATATTCTCTTGGAATTTGATGAAATCAAGTCCTCGATTCATTAGAATATTCATGTGCTTTGCAAGTTTTGTTTCGATTAATTCTTGTTGGATTTTTTGTCAATAATTTTGAGTGGTTGAATATACTTTGATTTTGATCTTAGTGAGGAATTTATTGACTTAGGTTTTAGTTCATAATTTGTTTAATAAAATGCTTATTTTATCCTTTAAAATTTCATGTGATTTTTAGGTTTCTTAGCATTGTTTTGATTAATACTTGCTCATAATTTGGCATCATTTTCATGCATCATTTTATGTAGTGTTTCTAACCTTTTTCTACTTTTGTGAGGTACACTTTGAGGCTTTGGATCCCTCTCCTTAGACATTAACTGTTTGTTAATAATTGATGTACTTTATCGCTTAAGTTTCAATTTAAGGTTTCTTGGATATTATGACGAGTGAAGAAGCTTTATGTAGAGATTTCTGGTCGCTTTCATGGCTTTGAAGAGGTGACATACCTTCTCCGTTAGGTATCTTCGTAACTTTATTTTATTCCTCATTTTTGCATCCTTTTCAATTAATCTGTCATGAGAAGTATGATATAGATGCATGACTGTAGACCTACCCCTGTTGGCATTGTGAAACCATGTTTGTGGCATAATATAGTTGTATTTAAAGTCCTACCTCGAAGTAGGAAATTTATGATTACCTACCTCAAAGTAGGCAATTTCTGATTGTTTAAAGACCCACCTCGAAGTAGGAAATTTCTGATTGTTTAAAGACCTACCTCGAAGTAGCAAATTTCTAATTGTTTAAAGTCCTACCTCAAAGTAGGCAATTTCTGTTTATTTAAAGACCTACCTCGAAGTAGGAAATTTTTATGTGAGCACTTGTTCAATTGTTATCTTGATACTTTGTTAAGCATTTGGACTTACTTTTGGTTGCTTTCTTTGCTCTTAGTGCATGTTCCCTATAGAATTTTATTTCTTTCCTTTTCTTATTGTTGAATCGATGAGTCACTCAATTAGAATTGAGTTCATGACTTCGTTCTTTCTTGCATGTTCCCTTAGGAGTAGTCTTATAAACTTTGGGACCACCATGCTTGCATGATTCCTTTGTGATTCTTTTACCATCTTTAGGAGATGTTTGTGTGAGATTTTAAATGTGCTTGTGACTTGTAGAGGCTTCCATCTTGCCTAAGTCATATCATCTTTATATCTTAAGCATTGGTGTTATCTTTACACCCTAAGCCTTTAGTGATATTGAAATTATTGATTGCTTTCGACTTGGTTTGTAATACCTTAAGGTAGAAACACTTATGCCTGGCCCTTAGGGGAACATTAATGTTTTTTGTGTGACACATTCATGCTATTTGATTGATGACTTAATTTATGCATTAAGGCTTAGGCTTGTTTGATCACTGCTTGCTTGTTAGGTGATACACTTAGGCGTTTGGTAGGCTTGTAAGCCATTTCATTTTGTTGTATACATTCTTGTTATTGCCTTTGTATGCTCCCTTAGGATTCACTTGGTTCACTTAGAAACAAGGTAGACATTAGGTTTTAAACCATGCATTCTAACATTAGGTAGCTTTCCCTTTCAATCCTAACTTTAGGACCACCATCGTATGATAACATTAGGAATAGAATTTCCCTTAGATTTTTTCATTCCCCTTTTGCATCCATTAAGACTAAAGCTTTTTCTTGTTAGAAAACTCAAAAAAAACTTAATGAATAAAGATATGTGTGATTTGCCACAAGCCTTAAGTACATGAAGAGGACTTCGTATCTGAGGCCTCTTACTCGATCATCCAAGGGTCTTCGTGTCATAGACTTTAGCATGACACGTATCTCAAACATTTTTAAAACTTAAAGAAGATGGATTCAAGTACCCCACAGGGGACCACTTGAGGTATCTCTTACCAAAAACACTTAATAAATTCAAACTTTTTGCCTTCGGGTCGCCTTCGGGCCTTTTTATTTTGAAAATCTATTCACGTAAGAACATGTTAGTTCCTTTCTACGACAGATGCGTTAGTCTCCAAAGTTTGAGCTACAGTAGAATGCGAAACTTAATATTGTTCAATTAAAAAACACAAAACAAACAGAAACTTTTTAGCTGAACTACAATTCTCTAATTCCTTAAAAGGGATACATAGGCATTAGGTTGTAGGGCCTAAGCGAGCACAACTATTTAAACTTTTGTTTTACCTGTATAATTTTCTCATGTGTTTTCCTTAGCTTGTAAGTTTAGATAGACACGCCCTTTGATTATAACAACAAGAGTGGATCCCGTGGAGTACTACGAACGTTAGGGGTGCTAATACCTTCCCTTTGCATAATCGACTCCCGTACCCTTCTCTTGGTTGCAAGACCTTGTTTTCTCTCTGGTTTACTCAATGTTTTCCTTTCCCTTCTATGGGATAAATAACATCCAATGAAACCTTCATTTTTCATTTTCCTAGTTGCCTCAGTTGGCAACTTCACTGGGGACACCTTTGTGAGTCAGTCTTAGCTCTTGTTTGTCTATATTCATTGGATGTTCTTATTGGGGGCTAAGTGAATCTCCAATTATTTATTTCTTTATGCTTTATTAGGGACTAAGTGAATCTCCAAGAAGATGTTTATTTCTTTATGCTTTTATAAGCTTATTCATTTGTATATATGTTTATATGTATATATGGTTGCACGCATTATATTTTATTGCTTTCCATATTATGTATATTGTTGTGTTGTTATTGCTTTGATGGGTGGGTTGTTACTTTGAGGTAAAAGTCCCATTACCCAGGACATTGTTCACATAGGTTAGAATGGATAGTCATGTTGACTCCCATGGCATCTACACACAAGAGTTGACATGACATACTGCACCCATACAAGGTTCTCTTGGGAATGTTGTTGTCCTGCATGTCTATGCACTAGACACGGTGTTGACACAAGAGGACTCGAGACTCTGGTTGTCCATTAGGAACCCTTTTCTGATTATAATTTATCCGTGAGATAGGGTGAGAATTATTCTTACATGTATAAATGTTGATCATCGTGGTACTTAGTTTCCTTATGTTTTGAATTGGTGTTGAACCTTTGATCATATGATACTCAGACTTGGTTTCTTGGTACTCTGAATTGGTTTTGAACCTTTGATCTTCTGATATTCAGACTTGGTTTCTTGGTACTCTGAATTGGTGTTGAACATTTGAACCTATCACATTTAGATTATTTATAACAGTGCAACATACATCCAGCTTTATGAGACCTTGACCCCATATTATTTCATTTTGCATCACAACATTCAAAATGTATATATGGAAAAAGTTAACTTGCATATGCATGTTATTTCCGAGGAATCATAGCTCACAGTCTTGTGATAAGCTTTTCCATCTCTTACTTGCTTAAAATCTTAGCATGTAGATACCTCATAAGTGATTGAACATGACATTGCATGCACTCATGCATCTTCATGCATTCATAATAGGTACTCAGGGGTGAACATCCTTATTCAAACTTGGTATTCTCTTCATAACTGCAAACCTGACTTCTCGCAGCTCCGTTCTCAGAGATTAGTTATGGAATAACTTCGTGAGGGTTTGGAAGAGATGCAGGCTCATATGAGGTTGATCAGGATAGATATGTCAGCCATGGCTTTTGATCGGGTATTCTTGAAAGAGGGAAATGACTTGTTGAAGACTCAGCCGAGTTGGTCATGGAAATTATGAAAATAGTACTGAGAAGAAAAGGTAATCATATACCTGCTTCTGCAACAAAAAATGGTATTCCTCCCCATCCAGTGGGATCTCTTTCAAGTAACGAGGTATTTTATGGATCTCTTCCACAACTTTGTGTTCCTGGGTCTCCTCGTTCGCAACCAATGTTTGTTCCCCAAGTGAATCCATGGGGTAAGGCATATGGCCCAAGCCAGGCATATGGCTTAAAAGTCATTGTTTAATATTACAAATAAGAGGTTCTTGAAATGATAGAAAGCAATAAACAAGTAATTACTCCTTAACGAAGGAGATGGGAATGAAGTCCTTTGCGTGCCAATTGTTGAGCTCTGTCATGGTATGGTATACCCATTCTTCAAATTCACATTCATCATCAGGATCCTCCACAGTGTTTACTTCATGATTTCCAATATGGAGAGGGGGCTTTCCTGCACGAGTGCG